AACTTGAACTTACCTTTTGCTTTCTCAACTCTGTGGGAAGGAAAAAAACAGATGAAGAATACTTTGAGAGTTAATAAAACCTACATTTGACAGTCTTTGGAAATGAGAACAATATGAAAAAGAACGGAAGGGGTTTGGCAGATAAAGACAATCCCATTTTATCATTTGCGCGTGTACCAGTGTGGTTAGTACAGGGAGACAAGGCTCTGAGCTAACGCTGAGTAATGCACAAAACCTCCCGTCTCCATCTCCATTTCTGTCCCAAGCTTCTTCTCAGCTGACTCACACCCTGGCCCCCAACTCCCCTCAAGCCACAGGCTCTCCTTTCTTAAACCTCCTCACTAAACCAGCACCCCACCAGAGGAGCCCACAACACCTTCACACACAGCAGAGCTGCCAACACCACACCAAGGCTGGGAAGGATGGACAGCACATGGCACTACCTGAGAAGAACTACTGTGGTTTTATGCAAACCCTGGAAATGTAGTCATAAATAATTTTTAAGTCATTCTCTTGCAGTTAGTGTCCCAACAACAGTTTTTGGACAGGACTATAATCTATTATAAAACAAGATTTGAAAGACCACATCCAGGAACAAGGGAAACTACTGAAGCCACCAGGGACAAGAGTCCAAGAGTTCCAGAGTTCAAGATTGTTCCATCTGCTTTGCAGGAATCTGCATGCTATCTAAACACATATCCACACATCCACACATATACTTTTAAATGTACTTACATATATATTTACACACACAACACTTAAAAGTTTCTAGCTCAGTTTTATTTACTTGCTTTATGCTAACATTACCTACTTAGGCCTTAAAACCAACAGCTCAAATTGTACCGTCCTCTGCCCAGATAGTGCCAAACATGGGGTCTGCAGCACTCAGGAGCCCAAAGCTGCACACAGGAGGCTGCTGCTACCCCATCCACATCCACCACCACCCAGAGCCAGGTTCACCCAGAGATGAATGCTACAAGCTACCGAGCCAACTGATAATTACAGAATAGCTCCTTAAACAAGCCTTAGTTCTTCTCAAGTGCAAGCATCTGTTTTGAAAAAACAAAACAAAAAAAACATCATATGTACTTGGAGTGGAGGAAAAAGACACCACCACATCCACATGCTTTAGAGAATCAACACCTCCCTTCAGTGCAAGTCTGGGATGTTTTCACATCTCGGCTCTTCTCAAGCACAAATCTGCAGTCATGGGAGAGCCAGAATTTCAGGCGCACAGCATGAACCAGGTCTTGCCCTCCGATACATATGCATACGTATCTCAAACATCAATTGAGGGCCTGCTTTATATGCACATGTTCATATCTGTATCATTTACACAGGTAAACTGCCAGTATATCAAGTGTTTGAAGTAAAGAACCTCCTCCATACCGAGAGGTTCAAAATCAATGTTTAGAGCCCATGTTAAATGTCATATGACTTGAAAAGGCTAGTGAATACACTCTGCAACTAGCTGGATGAACTCTTGCTTCTTACCATATCACTTCTTACCGTATCATGTTGTGTACGTTAAAAAATTTAGAGACATTCGAACTGCTAGCACAGTGAACGATATTTTTTACAAATTGTCTAGCTATGTTCTACTTCACAAAGAAAGAAATAATAATTACAGATTCTGAATGCATTCCTCTGAATTTACTAGTAAAAGGTGAAAATCGTGGAGAAACTTTACCTGGAGAATAGATTTTTGCTCTTTTTCCAGATAGATGTGAAAAATCATAGAAGGATTTCTAGTTTTGGCTACCTAGCACAGATTTCTCTTTTCCAGTAATACTGGTGAACTGTGCAAATGTCAAGTCCAGAAACAGCAATTCAGAACAGTTTCAATTCCCATTCTACACATTTGTCATGGAAGGAAGTAGATCTATGTATGTTAAATGTTCATCAAACAGAAGGATTCCTACAGCCTCAAAAAAAAGTTGCTTTTTGCCACAATTTTCAGCATGCTTTTCTGCATTGCTTTGCTTTTATTTTGGCTTCTTCTACAAAGAAAGAAAGGAAAAATTAAAGTCCACAATAAGTCAGCTCTGAAATAGCAGTGGGTTTGAACTTCTTGAAAATGGTTCAACTGTTTTTACTCATCCAGCTCAAAATCATATCATTGTAGAAACTCTGAAAACTGTATTTGGCAGTGTTCTACAAGAGCAGTTAAGACAATGGGTTCTTGTTATTTAGTTGGAGTGGAACATTCTGTATGTAGGAAACTTGTGTATATTGTTACTCCAATGAGAGTAACCTAAGTGTAGCTGAAGAGTTTACAAGCACCAACTATCAGGAAGTACAGCATTTCGCTCTTCAGTACTGTGCAAAAAGTAACAAGCTACTGGGTGAGGCAGCAGGTTCTTGTTTTCTGATTTAAAACTAACAACAACAACAACAACAAAAAAACAGCAGACACACACCACAAGGAGTAGCTTACATTCTGATGCCTCCTTCAAAGATGGGGAAGATTGTTAGAAGTCAGACTGCAAAACCATAGCTGAGAAGAACTGTGAGCTGCTGAATCAGCTACAGCACTCATGGCCCAACCTCACACAAAGCCTTAAAGTATTTTTTTTATTTTTAAATGATGACGATTAGCTTGGCTCTGTTTACAGAACTGCAAATGCAAAGAGCTTATTTTGTGATGCTGCTTTAACAATAAAAATTTTTTACTCCAACTGACCACTTCAGCCAGGTCTGGCAACTCCACTGGTGAGGTGAGCACTGGGCCCAACTGTCAGGATTTTATCTGCTAAATTTCTGTTTGCCTGCTCCTCTACTAAAAATGGTAGCTGGTATAAAATGCAAGGAAAAAAAAACCTGAAAATCACCAGCTGCACCAAAGGAAAATCATTCTGTGCATACTGTAGCCTGATGTCTTTGCGCTGCTTTTTTGGTTGGGTCTACCAGCATTTCTGAGAATTCCTTATCTGCAAGTGGGGCTGCCAGTGCAATGTTCACAGCAATGTTCAGGGAGTATGCTGCCTTGCAACGTGTCTCCTCTCATTCATGTTGCATAGATAGGCTTTCACAGCAGACTGATTCACGTGTGAGGAATGTTTGCTAGATATCCCCACAGGGCCCACAGACTGTGGTTACTGCTTTCATTTGCAGCAATCTGAAGATTCATGTTTCTCTCATTAAATCAGTGATGACACATTGAATTGCAGGTCCAGGCATAGACCATGTTCACCATGAACATCTATATGCATACTGTTCATACACAGACATTCTATATTCGTTTGCAATTTGATCATATGTACAGCATAGATATGTCCATTAATTTCTGCAAATATTTACACCATGCCATTAAAAACAAATCTTTACTCTCAAAGGGCAGAAATACCATACTTTCAACACTGCTGGACGTGTTGATTAGCCTCTTACCTGACAACCTTGTAAAGCTTTACACAAGCTGCATTTTATGCACCATGACTTCATGAGTCTTCTCACCATATATAGAAATTAATCACTTGGCTGAAGGACTTTGCAGAACCAGGCCCTGGCTTTGTGATGTTACACTTGATTGAACAGGGTTTCATTTTATACTTCATGTGGATCTTAAAACCGCTTTGTGTTGCAAATACTTCCTCAAGCTAACCATGGAAATTTGGACTTGGGACTGTATATGCAGGTGAGGTGTATGTGGATTATCTCCTATAATTTGTTAAATGCCATACACATTCTCATTCCTCCCCTTTCCTGTTTTTATCACACAGATGCTCAATGACATGTTCAAGCCTTTTCAAAAGGTCAGAAAGGGAGGGAGGAAGCACAGGTCAAAAAGGGAAGTGATGGGAAAAAGGAAAGGAAAAAACAGAGGCAGTCAGGAAAGCAGTGCAAACAGATGTAATGGCATTCTTTGTTTTCTAAAGAAACATGCTGTACACATATTACATTATAAAAAGTTAATAATAGAGAGAGTATTAAAAATGAAACATTTCAATGACTCAAACAAGAGAAATCTTCATCACTGTCTACCGATTCCAGAAAATAATACTTCAGTGATAGTTCAAACTAAGAAGTCCTCCATTCGTTGGTGTCTAGGTACCCACAAGGGTGCCCTTCCTTTCTCTTATACTGCAATACAGTCACGTAACTTCTTAAAACCAGACCTTCTTGGAGCAACTTGTAGCTATCATTAGATAGTAAATAAGTGAATTGCTCTGAGACAAAGTTATTAAGAATGATCAGTCACAGAATAGTTGGACTAAGATAGCATGAGCTAAAGTATTTTGTTCAGTTTTAACAAGAGTTATACCAACTTTCAGTGGTCCCCTCTATCAAAATACAGTATTTTCATGCTCTGCTGAAGAGAAGATCATTTCCTGTCCTTCTTTAGTCTCCTAGTGCTCTTTTCACCACCAAGCAGACCACCTCTTTCAGTAACTACCAAGTACCAATCATCCACATTGTGTTTGCTAAAAAGCATTCACATGCAATTGTTTAAATCCTTAAATAATGCAGGATTTTCTTTTCCTGCTATTTAGCAACTAGAACCAATGCTAGGTGACAAAGACAGATCTCCCCAAACTCCACGAAGCAGTTTCCAAAGAACAGTTTAGTGCTGTTGAAACACATTTGACCAGCTCTGGTGTCTTACAGCATGCACCAAACAGCAAATGGGGGAGCCTGCTGACTATGTCATGACTGGCACCTTGCAAAACTCTGTTTAAATGATGCAAGTAGTTCTTGTGAGCCTGAAATCAATGTACGCTACTGACTTATGAGCTTACATCTCGTGGCTGATCGACACTGATGTCTAAAGAAGCACAGAAAAATTGTCTGCTGTGATTGAGGTAGACCATAAAACAGGGTGCTTTTAAGATTGCTCTGACATGCTGTATGCTTCCAGAATAAAAATATCCGAAAGTCTGACAAAATTGTTTGGTATCGGTCACAGTTTCAACAAGAATATTAAGGGGAAACCTTGCTTTTGTAGATAATCAAGTTTAAAAGGTTCTAAATTATGAAATCCAGAAATGACCTTTTCCACTTACCTTAGTGTTCATACAAGATTTTCCACGTTTGTATTCTTTGTGACTTGCTCTTTTATCAAGCTTGTTCCACAAAGCTTTGGCCTTCCATGTGGTTACTCTTGACTTCAGTTTGGTGTAAAAGTTTCTGTTGTCCAAAGGATCTAATTCAAGTTGGCGAGTGAGAATATTAAAAGCCTGAATGGTACCTTTGCATGTTGATGCTTGGACAAAGTTTTCAAATATCTGTCCAGCATGACTGTATTTTTCATCATTGTTTTCCTCCATGTTCTGGAAGAAGTGTTCAAAAGGATTAAGCTGGAGCTCTCGTGCTAGGGTACAGGTAACCAACACTAGCAGGTACTTCCAATCATGTTATTCCTAGAAAATACAAACATCGGTTATGTTAAAGCAGGTTCTGTGAAAATTAAGCCCATGAATTGCATATCCAATGCAAATATAACAACACAGCATATGACTGTTGGACGACAAGGGTATTTAAGATGTGCTAGAAATAAACCTACTTGCACTGTTATGACAAGTACTTCGTGAAGACTGTTACAAAACTCCTACACACAAGTCTACTTCAAAATCAACCTGCTTCACCTGAAGTCTGAGAATTTCCTTCATTTTTATTCAGTGATAAATGTTAACTAACGGATTAAGAAAAAACAAATGATCAGATGCTTTTCCTAACCCGGATTTAAGTCACAGCAAGTACATCTCTAGCAACATTTTGGTCTTTAGAATCCTTAGAAATCTGCAGCCAAATGTCAACGCTATTTTAGGGAATTTTCTCCTGTTTTACAAGCTAGGGGCAAGAGCACAGCTTAGCCAGAGCAATTCAGAACTGGCCCCATCACTTACCACAAGCAAATGCACACAACAGGCTAAGCAGAAACATTATCACAAGGTATACCAGAACTGATGAAACAGTACACAAGTAACCACAGAGAACTCCCCTTTTTCTAACTCTTGCCAAAATGAGAAATGGTTTGGTGCTGTACTGCATGGAAAGGAATTTCATCTCCACACACTAAAAACTGAAGTTACATGTTTGGAGTCTTACCCTGTCATGTGCTAATGATATAAAGTAATGATGTTTGGCCCACTAAGCTCCGCTGTCTTTTCCTAGTAATGTGATCACTGTTGAACTGTGCCTCATAGTCCAGATAAATACCCTTACGCTTTGTAAAAGCAAAGCTATTCTAAATTAATGTAAGTTCACAAGAACTAAAATACTTTCATTGGGGTACTCCCTTATCCTTCCTTAACCTTGCTCTCAAGTCTCTAATGGGGAGTGTCACAGAGTCAGACAAGGTCTGAAAGAAAATATCCAAGTGGATTTCACATTTTCCAAGAGAATTATTATAGGTTATGTGTAAACTTGTTCTCAAAAGTGTGTCTACCTGAACTCAAGTCCTGAGATTTGTCATATATTCGTTTTCTTGCTATTAAAGAATTATCTACCAGCCCAAACAATTAAAAAACTAAATCAATGCTTGGCTAACCTTCCACATAATTAGTTATTTTGCCAGGAACATCATCTGTTGGCTGATAGTTTTAGAACAAATAGTTAAAGTGCCTTTGAAGTTACACTTTTTAATTTAACACTGTTCACAAACTATTCATTCTCTGCTCACATTTCCTTCACAGAAGAAAACAGAAAACATAACCAGTGTATTTAAGTAACGAAGGGACCTACCGTGTCTATCTTACAATCCTCTAATACAGAAAAATATTATGCAACATATTAAAGAGATCCCATGGGGAGATATAAGGAAGCATTTGGAACACTAACATTCCCTGGCTATGCTCAGAATAAATAACCTTTGTGCGCACATCAGTTTGCTGTTGGTTTGTGGGTAAAATAAATTGGCAATGTGAAGAGTTTGTACATTTTCTTAGAACAAATGTCATGATTAAATATATAGTGCCAAGAATAAGTCAGGAAATTTTTGTTTTCCCCTCTGAATACTTCATTTATCAAATGTTCCGTGCCCTTTTCTGAAGAGTTACATGAAGTACAAACATTTTATATGCCCCAACTTCCAGAAGGTTTAATTTTTCAATAAACTGAGTGCTATGAACTCCCGTTGACTTGAGAGAAGTTGAGGATGTCCAGCACCTCTCCGGGTTCAAGGCCTTGATTAATGAGCACAACTGCATGCTGGCAGGAGACAGCCTGAATACCAGGACACATGGGCATGGGGATCCAGGTGTGACACTCACCAGTCCTTGGGAAGGCAGAGATACACAGTGACTTCTGGGTATATAGGCACCCCAGGATTTGAGACCAATTAAAAGAAAAAAAAAGATAAAACACTTATTTTATGTAACTTCCATATCTGCTGGAGAGATTTTTAACAAAAAGCCAAAGCATTTTTAATTTCACTTCAAGTAATTACAAATAGTTTCTTGGTGACTGTGGAAGTGTCAGTGAAATGCTGCACTATGGCCAGTTCAGCCAAGCGTGTGGTAGCCAGATTAGGTTTGCTTCATGGCTTTACACTTGCATCATTATTGCCTCAGCACTACAAGACTTCCTCCCCACTCTTTTCAATAGCTCACCACAAGATTGTTATCATGCTCATGTAACACAAATATCTTTAGAACTCCAGCATAATTCATAAGAGTTCAATCACAAACTCTCAAATTTAATCTATTTTCTGCACACAGAAATGAGACTTACAGCCTCAGCTGTTTCCACCCAGCAAGGAAAGGGCCAGGGGGAGCAGGAAGAGTAAAAGCTAAAAAGCAGAGCCATTCCTGAAGCAACCTAAAAGCAAAATCAGCAAGTGCCAGGGCTGATATGGTAAAGAGGACAGAGCCAGCAGGAGTCACTGTGGGCAAAGTGAAGGGCAGGAAAACATTTCTAGCTCCATGCAAGCTAGTGGAACCATGTGTTGCATAAGCACAGAAACGCACACAGCAGGCCTGGGTTTCCCCTGCCTTTCCTCTGGGGGAAGAGAGCAGCCAAGAGACCTTCCCCAGGCTTAAAACTTTCCTCCTTCAACACTGCAAAGCCGCGACTGAGGCTGTTTTTGATGGGCGTGAGATTTTCTCCACATGAATTTCCAAAAGGCTCCCATCTTGTCCATACTGAGAAGCTGCATCTCAGCAGACATTTGCTCATCAGCTGAGCATTTCTCCTTGCAGCGTCACAGGTCATGTTCTCCAAAAAAGCCAGTCTGTGGTCAGAAAGGCCAGATGACACAGGAGACTCTAGTTACTGGAGTTTCTGGTTTGCTGGAAATACCACTTTTTTTTTTTTTTTTTTTGCATTAAGACTGTGTTGACAGCAGAGAGGAAAATGGTGCTGTAAGGATATGCAACTCGTGGAAAAGTATATGCTTTCTTCTGAGGAGTCAGCAGTATTTCACTGCAGTGTTGTGCATAACTCACTAAAAATAATGCAATGAGGACCAGAAGTTGAATGGAGTAATTAACTACAATAAGTTTTGTGTTCTGTAATCAATTCAAAAACCTAAAATGTAATACATAAGATGTTTACCTGTAGTGGGAAAAAGGCCAAACAAACAAACAAAAGCATTTGAGGAAAATACAGGAATTCTTAAAGGACCGTCATTCACCCTTTTTCCTCCCTCACCATGTAGATAACTCATGTGATGAAATACAGGTCTGATAATCTCATCAAGGTGAGTATTGAGGCTGAAACCACAACTTATGCTTGTCAAAGTGTCTGTTGAACTTCTTCTGGAAACACAAACCGATAAATATAGTGAAGTTAATTTGAAATTTTACTCAAGTACTGCAATAAGAAATTAGACCACAGAAAAGAAGAGAATTAGCAGGAAAAAGAACTGTTTGTTCAGACTATTAAGTCAGAACTGAAACATACACAGGTTTTGGTAGTTTTGGGTTAAATTCACAGCTAACAATACATGTAGGTCCCATGCATGATGCATTAAGTGCATATGAGAATTTGGCTTTCTACAGAGTTTCCCATGCTATTAGGAAGCTCTGGAAGGCTCCCAGACACAAGCTGCAGACACTGGGAAGCAGAAAGGTTGCATTTTTATGCTAAATTATCCCTTTCTGCCTCCAATCAGGGAGGAAACAGGAATGTCACATGAGAGAACTTGACAATTACTGTTCACCCCTGGTGTCTACCCAAGGAGAAAGTTTAAAAAATTGGAGAAAGGACAGAAAGAAAGTGGAAATTAAAGCAATGGTGCATGTACAGACAGGCATTTGCTTTCATAGGTATGAAGTCTTGGCTAATGCTTCCTTTTTGTGGAACAAGCTCTATTGCTACAGATAATTTTGAGAGTAGCAAACAAAGCGTTAGGATAATTTCATGAATTATCACTCCCTAAATTGATGTACAGAGCAAGGGTCACATCCGCACATGAAACCCTTCAGCATAATACAGCAAATAAAGTTGACATACAGGAGTCATTAAATGAAAACGACTAACTTTTGACAATAATAACATGGTGAAGCACTTGCCAACAGTGTTTTGAGGCAGTCTGCTCTCAAAATTATTATTTTTTTTTGGAGGCTTAGTTGCCCTATTGGAGAGATAATGACCACTAATTTTAAACTTGCAGCACATTCAAGTCCTTCTTTAGTCTCCTAGTGCTCTTTTTCTAATGCTTGAGAACAAGTTCCTCAGGGAGATTGGAAAGGAATTAAATTCCTAGCATTTCAATACTACTAATCCCAATTCTGTTTTCAATACAGCCCTAATTCTGCTATGTTTACCGAGAGCAAATTCTTTTAAGACTTTAGTTTGGCATGCAGGCTACAATACATTTACTGTTTGCTTAAGGTTAAAAACATCATCAGAAATGAAAAAGTAGATTCCTGCAGCATCTGTAGTACTTGTTTACTTTGGCGCTTCTTCATCATCAGTAAAAACTGCAGTATTTCTGCTCTCTTCCCTAACACAATTGTCTAAAATCTCAGCATCATTATGGTAAGTGACATTTGCACATGAAACTGACTGTATTATGGACCACGTAGGCTTTTCCACTTAGTTTCTACTCACACTAGACACTTTGCTCTCATGGTGGCCATTTTAAATACAAATATTTCTATCTGGAGGAAACACAGCTTTTTGGTGGTTTGGTTTCTTTGCATGTTTTCCTGGAATTGACATTATGTGATTCTAGTAACAACTGAATCTCTCCCTTGTTTTGCTTATAAAACCAGTTAAAACACAAAAGTACATTTGCCTAAAATACTTGCTTTTTTATTGGTGACAAAGAGAAAACGCATTTCTTGAGATACACAACCCTCACAGAAACATCAATGAACAGAAATCGCTTCTGAACTAAGCCTCATGAACAGACTTTCTATAGAAACAGCTAAATTCTTTTTCTGTATTTTTTTATAAAGAGCTGACTTCCACAGAACTACTGCAAAATAACTTCTCAGGCCAAGTGTGGAATTCAAAACAGTTCCTACCGAGACTCTGCCTGTGAACTTACAAGGTTACCGTACATGCTATCAGCTTGTTTTGCCGAAGTCATACGAGACATTTCAAACAGCCTTCCAAACGTGTGCTGCTGTGCTGATTTAACCTGCTAGATCTGGCACCAGTCTAGAATAAAATAGAGCTGGAAGCATGGGCACGAGCTGTGAATATTTCTGATGCATACACAGGAAGAATAAAACTAAATGATCTACCAGTAGGATTTGATCTGCCACACAGATTAAGTCACACTGCACACATTTTAAAGTTGAAGACTTTAAAAATAGTCCAATTTGTTTCTTGATGTTACTGGTCTGACGTTTCCAGTTTTACAGTGAGAATATGCTAAATCATTGACAGAAAAATGAGATCAATCCCTTCAGCCTGCAGCTTGCATGTGCCTCCATTCATGCAAACATACAACGTTGGCACGGACAAGGCGTGTGATGCTGCCTAAGGACTGCATGTGTAATCCCAGAGACGGAAGCTCAAACATCTGCACCCGCACCTCCACCACTTTTGGTGGCTTTGGGGCCAAAGCCACCCTGCATTTGCTCTGTCATACGGCCACTCCTGCAATGAAGAATTCAGACAAAATTAAACAGAAAATTTGAAATTGTGTGGGTTGCACTGCTGGCCTGTTCTCCCACGTGCCTGGTGACAGGACGAGGGGGAATGGGCTAAAATTGCGCCAGGGGAGTTTTAGGTTAGATGTTAGGAAGAGCTTCTTTACTGAAAGGGTTGTGAGGCATTGGAACAGGCTGCCCAGGGAGGTGGTGGAGTCACCATCCCTGGAAGTCTTCAAAAGACGTTTAGATGTAGAGCTTAGGGATATGGTTTAGTGGGGACTGTGTTAGGTTAGAGGTTGGACTCGATGATCTTGAGGTCTCTTCCAACCTAGAAATTCTGTGATTCTGTGTGATTCTGCCGCCTGCACGAGAAGTCCTGTCCTGGAAGCATCATTGAAACCCCCAGGCACTCATTTTGCAGAACATGGGCACAAGTATTTCAAATGAACAACAACACATATTTTTTCAGGTATCTATATGCAGCATGTACTCAAACTACTGATCAGAAATACAGATATATGTAAAACCCATTCCTCAGAAAATAATTATTTTTTTCCTAACAATGGTGTTATACTACATATACCACCAGAAACTGCAACTCTAAAATTTTAAGTTAAATGGTTTTGAGGGAAAAAGATTCTCTAACCCAATTATTATTCTTTGGTGTTAGCACAACAAAGATAGTATATTTATTTTACGCAGATTCTGACTTAAATACATTTAAGTGCTGCTTATATCTTTATTATCTGGTTTTAATTCATGTTTTACTCAAAATACAGAACAAAACTATGCAATGTAAGTTTTTACTGCTACAGTTACTTTATACAAATGTTTTATGATCAATTCTGTTTCTGCGATATCAATTACTGTTTCATATGGTAAACACCTGCAAAACAGGTTCTGTCCTTCAGCATCTGTTTCATAAACCTTCTTTTTAACTAGAAAAAGAGGCATGTTGAAGCACAACGAAAACTCAGCATATGTAGACAGATCATCTTAAGGCTATTTCAGGCATGCTGCCCATATACAAATACTGAGATCTGAACCAAACAATAACCTAAAGAGGTTAAAGAATCCTAAAGAATAGACTAAGGAAGCTTAAAGAATCTAAATTTCCTCAAGTAGGAAAGATGTGTGTCCCAGCTGCAAGCTGCATAGTAACAGTCATTAGCACAAACCTGCTAAAACAAAGGCTGGCATCTTCCGTGGAACTCCAGCAACACCAAGCTTTTGTAACAACCTTACAGGGACCATCAG